AGTTTTTCAAATGTGATTATATGGTAATCATTTCTATTCTGCTCTAATCATAGGAAAGATGTCTTGGACTAATTTTTTACTATTGAGAACTAGATAAAAGTAGGGCCAACACAAATGATATTTTATCCTCTAATTAATACAGTAGGCTACAACCCTATCATTCTAACAACACATAATCTTTGATGGACAAGTTGTGGGAAGAAAAGATACACTGTCATTTAGCCATAGAAAGTCTCACTGTTATTGTATACAGGTGAAAAATGAATAAAATACCTTCAGTGTTCATCAAGGGAACTCTGTGATGTTGACTTTTCCATTCCTGAAAAAAATGTATGAATGTAATGAATAAATGCAGATTCTATTTAATAGATCTTACAAAGTTAGGAAATGTCTTTTTGTGTCAAAAATGCATTTTGAACCTGAAGCAAATGGTTCTCAATTATTCCAAATAACCATCATGAATTTAAAAAACATGCAACCTCCTAATCAATTTTCCATTACTTAAAATCTTTCCTTATAAAGGTTTTAAAAGTGTACCTATTTGGGGTCACTCAAAAAAGAAGGGAAAAAAAGAGAAAAATATCAGGCTAATAAATAGCTACCTGCTATGGTGCTCTCCAACTTTTAGGCCACTGACTTTCCAAAACAAACAAGCCATCAGTGTATTTTTTTTATTCTAAGATTACACGGAAATAAGGTTTTATATGTGAGTGTTACTGCAGGATTTTCCAGGACATATCCTCATGGTATAAAATATACGGCATGTATAAAAGAGGCACTCTAAACTCTAGACCTAAACCCCTACTTTTATAGTGTTAAGAAGTTGAAAGTTCTAATTTATCCTTCATGTCTGTTAATTTCCAGCAGGTCTTTTCCTCTTATTTTTCTTCATCTCTCTTCTGTGTGCTGCCTCAATTATACTGGTATCAATCTGAACATATACCAAGTTCCTTGCTTCCTTACTGTGAGCTCAGTAACTTTACTTTAGTAAAGTGTTTTTTTTTTTTTTGAATATGTGAATGGAAGACAGCACAAACATCAGAGAGTACACACCTTCTAGCTTTTTGATGGTTCCTCTTTAATTTCTCTCTTCCCCACCTCTACAGAGAAACCTGAAAAACCAACCATATTCTTAGGAAACATGGTTCTTCCCATACATAGGCAACTCCAAGTCTCGGTTTTATTCTATAAGCCAACTTGTCAGAGATTCTTTTTCTGAATTAATACTCATGTTAATTTTGGTGAATGCGGGTTTTTTTTTTCCATCTCAACATAAATCATTGGTATAACTCAACAGAAGGCTATCTCTGTTGAGTCAGCCTATCTTAACCCTTTTACACACTATAAGTCACTAGGTGCCAGATGGCATGGTTCAAAACAGGAGAATGACCCTTGCCTCTTCATATGAAAATCTTGGCCCTTCTTGCTTAGTCCATGCCTTGCTTTGCACATTTGGATTCCCTGTTATGCTACCTTCCTAATATGCACTAGTGATTAAAGACCTCATCATTTAAATTTATAATTTAAACATAAATTTGCTATAAATTTGTTTGAATTATCTTGTTTCAAATATATAACAATATAAAAATTTGATGCTTCATTGAAATAGGAGTTTATAAATTGATCTAGATGTTCAATAGGATTGGACAAAAATGCCCTTAGATTACAGGGAAATGAACTCTAACCAATGTAGCCTAGCTAAGAAATCTGCTAGGAAATCTCAGAAAACAGTAGAAGATGATATTGTCAAACTGTAGGGATGCAACATACCAACAACAACTTGCAGGAAAATTGTAAATCACAATAGAAATGGGTTAATGATGCAGCAATTATTGCCAAGAAAATAAATTTGAAGTGCTAGGTGACTAGGAAATTCAATTCAAAGATTCAGATTAAAAAGTAAATAGTAAAGAGCAATGTGAAAATGCTAATGAGAAGTGTATCAGGGAGAAACTTAGCATGTCTGACTCCATATTGCTTCTGTTTCTTTTGCTGCTATGACCTATAGCTTAGAAATTTCTGCTTAGCCCTGCACATAAGCATGTTACAGTTAAGATTTGTAAAAATTGATTTTTACCCCAAATCTACCTCTCCAAGGAGATAAGGAAATACATACAGAACTGACTAGGCTATGTTTAAGAAATGGCATGACCAGATTCCTGTATGTAAAGATCAACTGACCAAGGACAAAGAAGTTATACAAGCTTCCTGGGATGTCTACAGAGGTCAGTCACCTTTTGACTCCAACCTCCTCTCCTACTTACTCCTTTTGCTAACATAAAAGAAGCCTGAATTTTATACCGGGGGAGATGGTTGTTTGGGACAATAGTCCACCATCTCCTCAGTTTGTTGGCTTTCCAAATAAAGTTGCTTTCCTTACCCCAACATCTTGCCTCTCAACTTACTGGCCTACTGTGCAGTGAACAGGAGCTTGGTCTCCATTACAGAAATACCAGAAATATGCAGATTAATTCCTTTTATCTTTGCTCAATTACTTATAAACAGCACCATATCTTTATATTTATGCTTTTATTAATAAAAATACTCATCCACTTTTAGTACTCATTATTTATTAGTGAGAATCTCATTTTAGCTTTTTAAAAATTGAGCATTTCACGCTGCAGTATGAAAAACTGTCATGACTACAGCCATTTTAAAATAGAGCCAGAGGGGCCACTGCAGAGAAAGTGCTTTACCTGTCTTTGTTTGAACTGGGCCATAAATTTTGGATTAGACAAAATGGCAACTCTTCTTAACAATTGCTTGAACACAGACATCCCGATGGTTTGAAATTTCTGAAGACAGAATTAGTAGTCAATCAATGTATAACCTAAAATAACTCGTTAACACCCACAGGAAACTTTTTTTCCCCTCTTCAACTCATGTAATTGGCTCCCTTTCTTTTCCTCATAAAAACCCTTGCTTTTACCCTACAAGCTGGACACTATTTGAGTTTCTATGATTCTGTGCTCCCTGAATTGAAATTCTTTAATCCCAAATGAAATACTTACTTGCCTCTCATGGTGGTTCTTATTTTCAAGTTAATGGTAGTTTTTTACCAAAAATTTCATTGCACTTTAAAAATTGTACTTGTAATAGATAATACATTAATTGTTAGTCTTGGATTTTTTTTTTTTTAGTCTTGGAATTTTTTTATGCTGCTTCAATAGACGTAGAAAAACGGTAATGGATTGTTTTAACATTATGTCTTCAGAGCCTTATCTAGTTGATCCATTCTTTTTTCTCTCGTACTTCATTTGTACTGGATATTCATATTCAATTTTCTTCATTTATAGAATGAATCTATACAAACTAAATGCTAATGTGAGGGAAAGCAGTATAGGCTCTGGAGTCATACGTATCCCCAGCTCTGCCACTAATTGGGAGACAGTGAACAAGAAACAAGATTGGAAGTTACTTGGATGTATATGAAGTGTTTAGGTCCCAGAGAAACTGAGAACAATCCCAACCAAAAAAGCAGTTATAGATATCTTCATCAGAATAGAATATGGACATTCATAGGCTAACTAGAGAAAGAGAAAAACTTTAAAAGATTCAGTTGCTATAGAAAAAGAGGTAAACTAAACATGTGGTAACAAAATGAAAATGCTCTTTAGAAAGATGAGTAGGAAAGACTAGAGTATAAAGAGTGCTTTTTGGCTTAGCAACAAAGTAGTCTTCAGTGATCTTGGCAAAGGCAATTTAAGTGTAACGAGGGTGGGGGTGGGGCCAAGATGGAGTGGTGGAAGCCAGAGGTGAGGAAAGAGAAACATTTTTTCCTGAGCATTTGTTCACTCAACAAATATTTAGCCCCTACAATGTCCCAGACACTGTGCAGGCTCCAAGCATATAATAGTAAAGAGTTCTCCCTGCCCTTAATAAGCTTAGGCTGTGTTAGAATATGTTTAAATGCCAATGGGGAAGAATAAGGAGAAGTTGAAAATATGTTGAGAGAAGATATAACTAATGATAGGAGGTGAAATGAAAGTGGCCAGAATCCGGAGCCAAGGTGGAGGACTTCACTTAGGGACAAGGTACAGTATTTCTTTGTTGGGTGAGGCTAGGGTAAGAACAAGAAGGGGATCTAAGCCTTACTTAGCATTGTTTTCTACAAATGGACAGTTCAGCTCCTGAGCTCAGCCTCTTGTCACCGCTGGTTTATGCATGGTATGTGAATACAGGGGTGTGAGGGAAAAGAGAAGGTGGGCTAACAGAATGCTTCCTGCTAAAAAAAAAAAAAAAAAGTTATTTTAAACATAGTTATTTCCACCTGCAAATAAGTATCTACAGCGGATATTTTAGTCCAAATTAGCCTTGGAAATATTTAGGTAATTATTACATCCTGTCTTTGCATTCAGGTGGGTTTTTTCATCAAATGATCGGAAATATAAATCAGAAATTAGCAAAAGATTCACATTTAATAATACGTCTTAATTATATCCCCAAGCTATAGCCCTATAGACCAATGAAGAAGTTAATCCAACCTATCTAAAAACGGCATTACTCATTGATGAAATTATTTCTTTGTAAAATCTGCATTTGGGTGATTGCTTCTGAGGTAGAAAACCGGGGGTTATAGGAAGTGCCCTGCCCACAGGAGCTTCTAATCTCAAATCCCGCCCGGGGTTTGGAAAAGACTTTTTATTGGTTACAGGAGTTATGAATCGCCCAGCGAACCGCCCCTGCTTCCCCCTCCCGCGCCTTCACCCTGGACCGTGGGAGACTGAGCGGAGGCGGGGCTGAGGGGAGCAGCGAAAATTCTGGTGGATACTGTACCACGGCCTCATCCTCCCCCTGGCCCGCACCATCTACTTATAATGCGAAACTTCCAGGATACCTTAGGCCTACGAACCATCATGCATGCAGTTCGTCCTCCCCGGGCCTGGGAGCAGTAAGTTTAGCCCTAGAGACCGTGTACGCATGCGTGAGAACTGGGCCGCCGCGTGCGTGTGACGTCACGTGCGCGCCCTCCTAAACTTCCTTGTTTTTCTCTAGAGTGTGGGTGAGTGAATTTATAAGTCGGTGTGGGGTTCGTTGCCTGGGAGTGAAGTGGTTCGGCTTGTGAACGGGTATGATAAAGAGACTGATTTAGTTTAGATCAAAATTTGGTGTGGTTATTGCAGAAAGACTCTTCATATTTGTCTTTAGCGTGAGCCTGCTGTGTTCAGTATCTTGCTTGGCGTTTTGTGAGCCTCTGACTGGAGTTAGTTCAAGTCCCCGCCCTCACGGAGCTCAACTGGCTTGGGGGAAGGTTGATGCTCACACATTAAAATTAAGTTTTGACACTAGTGCGTGTCCCACTCAAGACGTCTGAGAAATAAGATTGAGACTACAAAGCACAAGTTAGTTCAGTAGTCCTCGAGATTGTATAGGGGCTGGAGGAAGGAGGCAACAGATATATTTTAGAGGAGTAACCTTTTGGTGCCCAATTTGAGTACACATTATTACAACTGCTAAGGGATTAAAAAAGAAAACCAAAATTTTCAATCCCCCTCCCCTTCCCCAGTAGCTTGTACATTTTAAAGCACAGTTTTGATAAAGGACATTGTCAGTGTAGTTTTCACAGATCCTAAAACTGGCTTTTAGAGGTACTCCTTTAGAAAACTAAATAGAAAAGGCTTGAGTTTCAATGTCTTGGGGGAATGCATGTATTGATCCTTGTAATAAAATTACAGAATAATCCACTCTACCCCCAAGAGTGATTACTAACCAACTTAAAGGAAAGAAAAAGCAAAACTGAGTCAAAGAAGCTTAAAATTACGGACTACCCTTTGGGTAAAACACTGGTCTTTGTTTTCAGCAGTAAGCTGTCAACTGCTCTAGTTGAATTTGCTTTGGACAACATTTTGAAGCAGATCTGATATGCCACTTGAATTAATAAAAGAAGTCAATGGAGTGCCTGAAGTTGAGCTGCTAAGTGAATTAAACAAAGTAGATTTCAGTTCTCTACAGCCAGGTTGTGATTATAGCAAGAAATATATCCAGGTAAGAATTTTCATAACTCAGAATGCTTTTTTCTTCTAAAAGGAATGCTCATTTTTATGTTGAGTTTATTTGTAAGGGTTGTTTTAGGAGTAGTTTTACGTGTGTCATAATATTTGTGACTATTTGAGGCTATTATTCTTAATTATTTAGCATTCATTTAGCAAACATTTATTGAATTCTTTTGTGATACACTGGAATAAGTTTTGAGGGTACAAAGATGAGTGAACATGATCCTTGAACTAAAGGGGACTGAATTCTTTTGGGTTTGGACAGTTTACCTAATCTCTAATTATAATTAATAAGTTGGTATTAGAATTGTGGTATGTGAACATTTAGGAGAGAACCTTTGGTTCTGACAAGTTAGGTCAGGAAAGTGGAGCTGGAACTTAAAGGATGACTGAGATTATACCTTTCATTTTGGGTATAAGCAGTCCTCATGTGCATGTTGAAGAATTTGGATGTTACCCTAAGAACTGTGGGAGGCCCTTAATAGATTTTAAGCAGGACAAAGACATCATTCACTTTGAGTTCAAATTACTCTGCCTCTTGGGTGAAGAATATATCAGAAAGGGCAAGATTAGAGGAAGGATAATTAATTAGTTAAGACATAGTTGCAGTAATCTAGTTTAGAGTTGATGTTGGTCTGAACCAGGGGCAGAGGAGATGATGGGAAGGAGAGAGACAAAATAGTAATAAAATAATAATAATAACAAGAGTTAACATTGAGCTCTTTCTAGGAACTAGATAGTATTTTAAGTGCTTTACATATATCAACTCATTTAATCATGACAAAACCCTATGGATTGGGTCCTATTATTCTTTGGCTGTAAATGGCATTTCCAAAAGGTTAGGTGATTGGACTGAGATGCAGTTGATAAGTGTAGAGCTGGTGTTAGAATCTAGACATTCTGCTTGGAACTGACAAGATAAAGACGCAGAATCAACAGGTCTTGGAGAATGGTTAGATGAGAGAGGTAAAGAGGAGTTCAGGAAATTTCCCTGGTTTTAAGTCCTGTCAACCCTGGGAAGATAATAGGCATGCATTTAAGAAGAAAGATAATGAGTTCAGTTTTGGATATCTTTCACAGGTTATTAGAGGTATCCAGGTAGTAATGCCCTATAGGCAGGTAGATTTGGGGTTCTGGAGCTCAAAGGGTTCCTACTCAGGGAGATTTGGGCCAAAGAATAGAATAAGAAGATGTGTTGAAGGATGTCAGTGTTAAGAAGATAGCATGAATAAGAGATAGATAATCCAGAGGCATAGGAGAAAAACCAGGAGAGAGTGGTGTCTTGTATATTTAGTAAGGTAAGTTTCAAGGAGTAGTATCAGTAACTCTTACATAAATTGCTCTCTGGTACGCATTCTCCTGAGTGCTTTACATATGTTCCCTCTTTTAATTCTTGAAAGAACCCTGTAAATAGATGTTATTATTCCCATTTTATAGTTGGGAAAACAGATAAAGGTTAAGTAATTCATCCAAGGTTAGATCCAAGGTTAGCTAATAAGTGGCTGAGCTGTGATTTGAATTTTCATTGTCTTTGCTGTGTTGCTGCTAAATGCTCAGTCTAAGGTCTGAAAATATTTGATTTAATAATCAAGAAAATACTGGTCACTTGGGAAGACTAATGTTGCTGGGTCGGCTTTTTAGTGGTTTGAGGATTGAATGTTGGGTGAGAAAGTGAAAGCAGGAAATGTCTTTCAAGGAGTATGTTGTGTGGGGCGCCTGGGTGGCTCAGTGAACTGGTTAAGCGGCTGCCTTTAGCTCAGATCATGATCCCAGAGTCCTGGGATCCAGCCCCACATCGGGCTCCCCCTCCCACCGCTCGGCAGGGACTCTGTTTCTCCCTCTCCCTCTGCCTGCTGCTCTGCCTACTTGTGCTCTCTCTGTCAAATAAGTACATAAAATCTTTTTATAAAAAAAGAAAAGGAGTATGTTGTGTTATTTTGATATTTTGATTATGGAAGTCATAGTCCTGAAATAGGAGTGGAAAGCTTTTTAATTTTAGCTGAGTCAGTTTTGCATTTGGTTAACAGTGATTGGCTTTTATACGATCTACAATCGGCTTCACAGCTGCTGCACTAAAGTGAAATAAAACAAATTCAATTTTTTAAAAATTTATCTACATTCCCTTTCCTCTTCTATTCTGCCCTCACCCTGTCCCCTTTCCTCCGAGTACACTCATACTCAAACTCATAGGCTGTATTCACAAACTTATTCCTAGAGCAGTTTAACATCCTGAAAAGGAGTGGAAGCCCTGGAGACAGGCGGGCTGGATTCAAGCACAGATCGACCATTTACCAGCTATGTAATTGGGAAAGTAATTTTTTCTGCCTATGCCTTATCTTTTCCATTTGTAAGCTATGAATTATAATAGAACCTACTTCATAGAAATGCAATGAGGATTAAATGTAAAGTGCTTACGTAATGAATTCTAAGCATTTGGTAAATGCTGGTTACCGTGGTCAAGATAATGATATATTAACATGCCTTTGGACAAGGAATTTACCTAGTTTCATAGTTCTCAGTGAAAATGTACCATAATCTCATTGAGCAGAGACAGAATTATTTTGCAATTAGTGAAGCTCAGGCTTCAAAGACTTTACTTGAACAAGCCCAAGACCATGTTAGGGGTCTTAGAAATGAATTTACATTTTCATATTTGTAAAATTTACACAAGGGGGATGTTCTAACCTAAAATGGTTAAGGTTGCTGTCTCTTTCCATTTTGACTTACCCTTCCATCACATTTCCTGTCTTATCCAGTGGCATTGGAATGGCTGAGAACATTTTTGGAATATATAGCTAAGGGGAAGTTCACTTGTGGACTAGGTTTAATGAGATGTATTTGTGTGCTTTGCAGTTACTTGCATTTTTAGCCAGGATATGCCAGCTCTCCTGGTGTAGAAATGTTTTCCAGGAACATTCCCACACACTGGTTAGTATAGAAGAAAAGTATGGAGTCAGAAGTTGTACCAGGACAATGGAATATTATGCAGCCATCAAAAGGAATGAAATCTTGCCATTTGCAACGATGTGGATGGAACTGGAGGGTGTTATGCTGAGCGAAATGAGTCAGTCAGAGAAAGACATGTATCATATGACCTCACTGATATGAGGAATTCTTAATCTCAGGAAACAAACTGAGGGTTGCTGGAGTGGTAGGGGATGGGAGGGATGGGGGTGGCTGGGTGATAGACATTGGGGAGGGTATGTGCTATGGTCAGCGCTGTGAATTGTGTAAGACTGTTGAATCACAGACCCGTACCTCTGAAACAAATAATACATTACATGTTAAAAAAAAAAAGAAGATAGCAGAAGGGAAAATTGGAGGTGATGAACCATGAGAGACTGGACTCTGAGAAATAAACTGAGGGTTCTAGAGGGGAGGAGGGCGGAGGGATGGGTTAGCCTGGTGATCGGTATTAAAGAGGGCAGGTACTGAATGGGAGCACTGGGTGTTATACACAAACAATGAATCATGGAACATTATATCAAAAACTAATGATGTAATGTATGATGATTAACATAACATAAAAAAAAAAAGTTGTACCAGGGTATGAATATATACTGTCACACCTAGCATGCGGTGTATATAGTTAGTGAATGAAAATAGGTACTGAAACTATGGAATCTGAAGCTACTTCAAGGACAGTTGTTAGAAATCTCACAGCTTATATAGGAAAGAAACTTAATAGAAATTTTTTGAAACTTGTCAACAGTGCTAAAAATTTACACAAGGTTACTAATAATGAGTGGTGAAGTAAATACAATTGTTGTAAACTATCAATAACAAAATTAATTGTGATTTCTTATTTTAAATATTCCATTTCATATTAAAGAATACATTTTGTTGTGAAGGAATGAAGAAGAAGGGATGCATTTAAAAAAGATGTTTAAGATTAAAGAGTTAATAACATGGGGGACATTTAATAACACAGATCCACCATTTACTAGCTATGTAATTGGGAAAGTAATTTTATCTACTTCTGCCTTATCTTTCCAATTTGTAAGCTAGGAATTGTAATAGCTAAATATGTTATTGTTACTGATTTGTAATTTCTGCAAGATTTCAGTTTTTTTGAAGTTTATTAAGACTTAATTAGGTCACCATGTGGTTTGCCTTCCTGAACATTCCATGCGTAGTTGACAAGAATGTGTTTTCAACACATTCTGGTCTGGTGGTCTATGAATGTTAATGGTATAAACTTGTATGAGTGTGTTTTCAAGTCTGTATTTGTACTGATTTTATTTCTCCTTGTTCTGTCAGTTACTGAGAGAGAGGTGTTAATACCAGGTATGATTGTAGATTTGTCTATTTCTTCCTTTAGTTATGTCAGTATTCATCTATTTTGAAGCTTTTTTATTAAGTGCATATATATTTAGGATTGTTATTTCTTTTTGATGAATGGTTCTTTTTGTCATTATCGGATGTCTATCTCTGGTAACTCTTTGAGCATCTGTTTTATCTGGTAATATAGTTCTGCCAACATTCTTAGATTAACTGTTTGGATGGTGTATCTTTTATTTTTAATTTATTTATGTTTTTATATTTTAAGTATCCCTTAGATGGCATGTCATTGGGTCATGCTTTTTAATCCAGTCTGTCAATCTCACCATTTAATTGGAGTGCTTAATTTATATGTAAAGTAATTGTTATAATGGTGTTTAAGTAATACCATCTTGCTATTTGATTTCCATTTGTCCTTTCTGTGATCATCTTTCCTTCTTTCCTGAGTTCTGTGGGTTCATTAAATATTTTTCCCCATTCTGTTCTATTTTCTCTGTTGGTTTGAACAACACCTGCCTTATTATTGTCTTTAATGGTTACTCTAGTACTAGCAATATATGTTCTTATTAAAATCTACTTAGAGTTAATATTGTACCACTTCTCATGTGACACTTCTTATTTCTCATGTCCTGCTTCATTCTTCTCACTTGACAAATAGAATTTTACAGCAGTAAAATTCCATTTCCTACTCCCCTGTTCCTTGAGCTGTTA